GGCAGCACAGCGGCTGGCCCTCTCCCCAAGGTCCCACCCCACGGGGATTTAGGGACCTGGAGGGAACTAGAGCAGGGAAGGAAGGCAGGGCTGGCCCGGGAGATGGGTGTGGGAGCAGACACAGCCCCCTGACCTTATTCAGGCTACTCCACGCCAGCCCCACAGGGAACCCGCCACCTGCCTGCCCCCCCTCCCGAGCCCTCTAGGCCATCCTGGACCACTCCCCTGCCTTCTGGTGAGGACACAAGTGTCAGTGTCACTGAGGAGGGGTCTGCGTGGCCCCTCCCCTGCCCTCAATGCCCACCTATCCCCCAGACTCTGCAGGAAGGGAAGGTGAGCGCATGGGCCCCGCCGCTGATGCCCTGTCTCTTCCGTGGTGGAGCGGGGCGGGCTCGCTCCCATTCCGGGGATCCTTTCCGTGGAGCAGGGTCTGGTGATGCGCTTCGTGCTGGCCGCCTCCCCACGTGGCCCCCCAACCCCAGCTTGGGAGGACTGCTGCACCACGGCCGCCTTCCCAGCCCTTGGAGCTCGGTAGACACACAGGCCCCGTGTTTGCCGGTGAAGGTTAACGCGAGAGCGGGGAGGCGCGTGCGCAGAGGCGATGCGCACCCCTTGCGCGTGCGCACCCCTTGAGCGTCCGCCCCCTCGCAGGAACCAGCGGTCGCGTGGACCGGCAACGTGCGAGCCCAGGGGGACCCGAGGCGTGTGTGTTGCATCCTCCACCCAGCAGTCGGGGTGCCCACAGCCCCAAGGGCCATGTTCTTACTCCAACCGGAACCTGCTCGAAGTGCAGAAAGACGTACCACGTGCACGCCCACGGGAACCATCGTCCCTCCTTCCTCAAGTGACTTCCTGCACCGGCCACCACTTACGGGGAAAATAACCACAGAAGGAAAAGGGGAGATGGGTGAGTCCAGAGTTCCTTCCTTTCAGCTCTTCCTCAGACACAAGCTGAAGGGAGCGGGTGCAGGCAGAACGCGCATACCAAGGAGGGAAATAAAAACAGCGGTGAAAACAATTAATAATAAAATAAAGAGAAATAAACTAAACTAAAATAATTGGTGCTAGTTTTGTGTGGCGTCTCGACTATTCCAATAACATAAATAAAATAACGTACGAGTGCAAATTGCAAAATACGAATGGCGTCATTTCGGTGATTCTGCGTCATAGCAGTTAACACTCATCTCTGCATTTAAGATTGGCATCGCACAGTATAAAAATTCATGCAAATAACTTAAACTGTTAATTTTTCTTTACTTAGAACGGCATTAGATAACAAGTTTAAAACACCATAAGTCAAGAGATAGACCGTGGAAAAAAGCAAAAGGCTTTCTATCTCAGCACCTGTAACATCACCTTTTCCCAATTTTGAACAAGGCTGCCTGGCCGTCATCTGGCCCCGCAGGTGGCCGCGCAGATGCGGAAACGGGCCCTGGGCGGGGAAGAGCTGGCGAGTCGATTCATTTGCTTCCAAGTGCCAGGGAGGCTTCAGAGGCGGACTCACAGGCTAGCTGCAAGCCCCGCCCACCACCACCCGCCACCCGCCACCAAAACCAAAGCCAGAAGGAACAGATAGACGTCATCTTCCCAGTGGGGGCTATGGGTGCGTCCCAGAGGCAGTGAGGCTGCCCTGGAACAGGCAGGAACCACTGAGGTTTTGACTGCCCCTCTCGGGACCCACGTCCCACCGGTTCCAGCACACAGGACAGGCCAGCACTGCAGCCTCTATTTCAGGGACATGGCTCGGAGATGCTGAGTGACCTGGACAACACCCCAGGACCCCTGTTGTTTCCCGACCCCCCCCCCAGAACCAGTGTGTCTACCAAGGGCCAGACGGTACCTGCGTCCCCCCTAGAACACAAGCTCCTTGAAGGCAGGGTTTCCCTCGGGCGCTGATGCACCTGGAATACAGAGAAGGAGTCCGATAAAGGTTTCAGAATGAGTGGGTGTGGGACCCCAGCAGACCAGATAAGGCAGGCCTGGACGCAGGGACCCGTGCTGGGCCCCAGCCTCCAAGAGGGTGGTCCTGTGTCAGCAGGTCCCCCATGTGGGTGGCCACCGGGGACACATCATTCTCTTGAGTGGGTGAGTTTCAGCCACATAGACACTCCCGGGACTACAAAGCAGGGTTCCTTGGGGCGCCTGCTGTCATGAATAGACAAGACAACGTGTGGACCCCCAGTAGCAAAGCACCCCCAGAGGGCCCCCCGGGGCTGTAGTCACCCAGGCTGTGCTACGCCACCGCGCATCCACCCCAGCCCTGCCTGATTCAGAGCTGTTGTGAAGATTCCCCTGGTCCCACCCAGCTTCACCCCAAGGCTGAAGCACCATTCCCCTCGCGCCACAGCTGGGGTCCCCGACCCAACTCCACCGCTCAGCCCCTGGTCACCTTCTGTCTGCAATTGGCTTCCAACCTCCAGATGGGGGCAAGGCTGGACCACAGGCTCCCAGGAGATCCCTGCTGACCCCACTGCAGAGCCGATGGCTGGCTGACCACCTGGCCAGGTGGGGATCCCTGCAGATGTGCTGACCTAGAACACGGAACTGCTAAGGTGTCCTCCCCAGGACAGCCCCAGGCAGCCCCACCCTCCTGGAAGGGGACCACTGCAAGGACTTAGGAATGAAGCCATCCCAGGTTGGAATCCCAAGCCCCATCACCTTCAAGCTCTGTGACCTCAGGCACCTGATCTTTCAGAGCTGCCCTTTCCAGTTATGTAAAATGGCGCAGTGAATGGTACCCGGTAAATGACAGCTGGTGGCGGAGGGCGGGCAATTTCTAACTAGAGTGAACAGGCAGGCCGGTGTGCCCGGGTGACACACCTATCATCCCGCCTGATCAAACACAGCCCTTTCTTCTCTCAAAACTGAACCGCTCAGACCCTCTGATCCAGTCACCATATGTGCGTCCTCATGGGACGCAGTGTGAGGGACACGGCACCGCCTCTGAAGTGCAGGAACCAAAAACCAAACCGGAATCTGATCGCGCATCTGCTTCCGACCCACCTGCTTCCAATTACAGAAAATACAGGGACAGACACTCAATAATATGAACACCCAGGGTGGTGCTGTCAGCAACACCCGGAACGCGGATGACCTCGTCTCCTCAGTAAGGGGACTGGGGGAGGGACGCTCGCGGATCTGCACCAGATTCTCATTCTGTAAAACCAACTGTGAAAAACGGAGGCAATCAGAGGGCTGGGCCACCGCTGGGTGTTCACCGAAATGAAAGCGCTGTTGTTCATTCTGGGTGGGACCGTGGTATTGGGTTTCCCTTGGAGGCTCACATGGTGAATCTGCAGGTGAAACCACGTGATGCCTGGGATCTGCGTCAGAACCACGTGGGGGTGGGAGCGGTGGGGTGGATGGGTGGGAGAGGCCTGGTGTTAATAGTTTTTGGTGCTGGGGATGGGGGCTTCTCAGAGGCTTCTCCAGGGTCCGGCACGTCCATCGTCGACAGGACCACACGTCTGATTCGACAGTGCTGCTGTGGGTTAGAGCCTGTACGCCCTGCTAGAACGCAGGCTTCATGAGGGCACTGGTGCATCCTCAGTGCCTGGTACAGAGAAGATGTCCGATAAGAGTTCTGGAACTTCTGCATGTGTTTGGAATTTTCTGGAACTTCTGCATGTGTTTGGAATTTTCCATAATAAAAAAGAGGAACACAAAAACGGCACCTCTTATCCTTCGCAGAGCTTCATCGCCGGCCCCAGCTCCCCTCCGCCTGCCCCTCCCATGCTTTCCTCCCCCACACCCAGGCGTGGTCCCACCCTGCCCACCTGGTGCCACTCTGTGTCCTGGGGGCTGCAGGCCTTTGCCTGGGGTCAAGGTAAGGAGTCCCAGGAGAGCCCAGAGCCAGTGGCTCAGTGAGGTCACTGACTGTGGTGTGGATCCCCGGGAGAAGGCTGAGGGGTGGTGCTTGCTGGGTGGCCATGTCACATGCCTCCTTCTGTCCCTTGCATGAGGCTGGGTCGCTCGGCCCTGCAGCCCCCAGCCACAGCTGCTCTGCTGACCCCCACCGAGTCTGAGCCTCATCGGACCCACCAGCCCTGTCGCCATGGTTACCCAGGAGCCATCTGCTCTGCCAGCACCCGGTGCCCCACCTCCCAGGGTTCCAACGGCTTTGACCCAACCACTCCCTGCCGGAGGAAGGGGCGCTTTCAGCATCCTAAAGCAGCACAGGGGATCCCTGTCAGCCTCACACCCATCCTTGCAATAAAAGAGAGCTCTGGGCACAGCGAGGCTTCAAAGCTGCCGAGGCCCTGGTCAAAGGTAGAGCTGAGTAATCCCCTGCGGGCCCTCTGGGCTCAGGAGCCTGGGGGCCCTCCTCGTTGCCCTCAAGGGAGGCCCTCACAGCCCCCGCCCACAGACGGGCAGGCAGAGAGGCCTAGGCCTCTGCAGCCTGCAGGGCACAAGTGGCCTGGAAGCCACGGGCGCAGCAGCTGAGGGCCGAGTACAGGATGCTGGACGCTGCCGGACACCTCTCCTTAAGTCCTCCCGCAACTGTAGGTCACCCCCATTTGCAGGTTGAACAACTTGCCTGGGGTCACCCAGCTGGTGGTAGGCAGCGGAGATCTGAACCCAGCAGCCTGGACCCCGAGACAGAGGGTGGCCTGGGTCAGACCCCCTCAGGCCCAGCCCTACACTGGGCACTTGCCCTAGATCCCCGAGCCAGTCAGCAGCGTGCGGACCTCAGCTTCCGAACTGTGAAGGAGCCCTGCCTGGACCACCCGCCAGCCTGCTGCCACCTGCCAGGAGCTCCCAGCTCCACACGGCACCTGTGAATTGCTTTGGCACGGTGGCGACCAGGTTGGACTCCCAGCCCTCACTTCTCTCCGCCCGCCCACCCTACAGAGGAGGGAGCGGAGTCCAAGGAGGTGCGACCACAGAGGTGGGGCCTGCTGGGTACAGGGTCTAAGCCGCCAACCTCCCACCCATACCGGGCCCTCACCTGGGAAATGGGGGGCCTCGGGATATGGAGTGGGCACCCCCAACACCACGGATACACAGCACCGATTTATTTATAAGATCCACCCTCCCTAAAACAGGTTTTCTGACACAGGTCTCTCCCCAACTGGCAGCGCTGCAAGGGGACACCCGCCAGGGACCCTGCCCCTCAAGGGCTGCAGCATGTTCAGATCTTGGCCAGGTTCAAAAATTCCAGGAAGAGGGAGTGGGCGGGAGTAGACAATCTTTATTGGGTTCCAAATCTAAGGATTCTTTGCACAAAAAGAAGTGTTCATACTGTCAGTGTCCCTGGGCAGTTCAAGTTCATGCGTAAAAAATAGATATCTGTGTCGGCATAAAATCCTCTCCCCTTCAAACCTCCAAGTCTTGGTGCCGCAGACCCGTTCCAGTGGAAGGCCTCCGGGGAGAGGGTGGCTGGGGTCCGAGGAAGCTGCCGCCCGGTTGATGTCAGGCTGGGCCGCTTCCACACTAGCCCTTGGTCAGGCTGGACGGCCGGGGAGGGTCGGCGGGATCCCCGGCTCGGTGGTGGCTTGGCCCGCGGGAATGGCGGGGACGGAAACGTGATCCATTCCAACGCGCTGGCTCCCAAGGGGTGAGCCCGCTCGCGGCCGCTAGGAGGGAAGAGGGAATAGGCACGCGCGTTAGCGCGGGGTCCGGCCCGGGAGACCCCGCCCAGCCCGGCCCTGCCCCGCCCCCACCTCCCACAAGAGGAGCCGGCAGTTTCGTTTGCTCAGTGGATTTTGGAGCTCGGGTCCGTGGGTGCCTCGGTTTCGGAGTACGGCCCAGCCAGGGCGCGGGGCGGGGCGGGGCGAGCGCTCGGATCCGCAGTGAGTCAGGGATCCGCACCCCGCCGACTCATTTCTGCCACCCGGCCCGGCGCGCAATTTGCAATGCAAAGTCACTCCGCCTCCAAGCGCCCGAATCTGCCCCGGATCCGCAAGCCCTTGGGGCCTCACCCGCCCGAGGGCCGCCCCCCTCCGTCTCCCCACTCCCACTTCGGCGGCGGAGCAGCGAGGGGAAGTTTTGCAATCCCGGACAAACAAACGCTGGTCTTGCACAGGCTTGAAAAAGTTTGGGGGAAATGAAGAGTGAGCGAAATCCAGGCCATCGCCCGGGCCTGAGGCTGGGCTCCGCGGGCTCTCGGGGGCGCGAGCTGCGAGGCCGTTTGCTTCACCGCGCCCGGCAGCCCTGCCTCTGATCCTCCCTCTTCCCCGCCTCTCGGCGCTTACCTTGCTGGGACGAGAGCTCAGTAGCCCCCTAACCAGCTGGAGAAATCGAGAAGCTCGCGCTCCGCGGGGCTCAGCGCGCCCTCACAGGTGCTGTCGTCCGACGAGTAGGCGGAGCGCGGGGACCCGGGCTCCGAGCTGTGCTCGCGGCCCGGGGACGACAAGGCGCAGGAGGGCGAGGCGGCGGCGGCCCCGGGTGGCCCGTGGGGCAGTGGATGGCGCGCGGCTGGCGCCAGCAGCCCCCTGGCTAGCGCGGCGCGCACGGCATCGTGCTCGGCCAGCAGGCGCTGCAGCGCGCGAATGTACTCCACCGCCGAGCGCAGCGTCTCCACCTTGCTCAGCTTCTTGCTGGCGCCGCCCTGAGGCACGTGCTGCCGCAGCGCCTGGAATCCTAAGTTCACCAGCTTCACTCGGTTGCGCTCCCGCTCGTTGCGCCGCGCCACGGCCGCCGCTCCACTCCCGGTCTCCACCGCGCCTGGCCGCCGCCGCCGGCTGCAGCGCAGCAGCTCTGGAGACTCCGGTCGCCGCCGAGCGGCGCAGCAGCCCGAGACACCAGGCGCAGGGGGCGCGGGCCGGGGCAGCGCGCCGCTGTCCATCGCGCCCGCATCCACTCGCCCCGCGCCTCTTCCGAGTCCCTGCGCTCCACAGGAAGGTGTGGGGCGAGGAACCGAGGGCGGAGGAACGACGGTCAAGCCTCAGCGACGATCTGGCACCGTGCTGCCAAACGACTACCCAGGGTACGTGGTGCCAGGTCGTCTGGGGTTCGGAGACAACGAGGCGCAGGAGGCCGAGAGGCGGCGGGCAGTGCGCACTGGGGAGCGTGGGGCGCTCGTGACTCGCGCGTGCTGTCGGACGCTCCCCAGGTCTTCCCCGCGCGGCGCAGGCGTCTCGTTTTTAAACGTATAGATAACCCTCCTCCGCGCCGCCGCCGCCTCCTTTCTCACGCCCTCCTTCCCTTGCCTCGCCCTCCCGCCACGCTTCGTCCAACCCTTGGCGCACACAGCCTGCAAAGACCAAGCCGTGAGCGCGACCACACCCCGCCCCCCGGGCACAGTCCGCAGGTCCCCAGTGGGTCCCGGCTCCCAGCAGGTGTCCAGTGCGCCCCCCAAGATGCAGTACGCAGGTGCCGTGTGCGCACCGACCCCCAAGCTGCTGTCCGCAGGTCCCTGGTGCGACCCCTGCCACGCTCGCCTTTGGGGGTAGGGCAGGTCTAAGGCCACAGAGCACCCATCCCTGGGTCGCGTGAGACCCCGGGGAGCAGCACGCGCCGACCAACCTGCACCCGCGCCCCGCCCCCTGCGGCCGAGGGGCGGGGGCCGGGGTTTCAGCCAGTGGCGGGCCGCCCGTTTGGCCAATCGCGGCGGGCACCACCCCACGCCCGGCCCCTGGGAGGAAGCCTGTCTGCCCGGCGCGTGGCTCCCGGGAGCGTCTCTAACAAAGCTCGGCGCCTGCGCGGCCCCGCCCGGCCCCTCCCGGCGACCAGGGTGGGCGCGCACTCCCACGCGCGCCTGTTCCTGGCCGGGCGCACACCTGTTTATGACTCCACCGGGCCTTCGAGAGGGGAACGCAGCCCTCCGGGCGGGGCGGGGCTTGAGAGGTGGTGAAGACCTGGCGCGCTTGGGTAGGGCGTTCAGGTTCCTGGGGCGCTTTTCCCCAACATCCCCTCCACGCCCACTCTCTGCGGGTGGTTGCCGTGCGCCCCGGGCCTTGGGAAGCCTTGAAGCGGAGCGCCTGGAGGTTGGCACAGACCGCTTCAGACTTGAGTGGCTGTCGGCCTGCCTCTCCCCTCCGCCCTCCCCGCCGCCCCCGCAGCTTCCTCCGCTTTCCACGTTCCCCCCAAATCTTCCTCCCTTCCTGGTCCAGTTCCCTCCGGCCACTCACCCGTCGACGTGTACCCGCCGTCGTGGCCCCTTTTCCTCACTGCCATGCCTCCAGCACCATCCACCAACCCCCCGCACTGAGATTGGCCTGTGGGGGAAGGTGGTGGGGCCGCGGCCTTTCCAGCGTCTCCCAGCGGAGGTGAGGCGTCAAGAGACTTCCTCCCTGACCGATGGGGGTACATTTTGGGGTATGAGGGGGCAGGGACTTTGGAAGTGTGCAGAATGCGCCGTTACTGGGAGAGTGTTGTCCTGCCCCGCGGCCTGGGAAGGCCAGTCAAGTGGCTGTGCCCTCAGGAGGCCACACCCAGCAGGTTTTTCCCAAAAAGTGACCAGACCCTGCTGGGCCAGGACCTCTGGGAATGGAGGCCGGGGGCGGGCGGGCCCAGCTTCCCGGAGCCGACTTACTGTTCTGGGGGCGGGGGGGGGGGGACCCAGGACCCCTCCCAAGAAGTCCGCAGGGCACACGGGCGAGGATTTACTGCCCACTTCATGGCGCCCACCGGCTCCCGTTAACCCTGCAGGATTCTCCTGGCAAGTCTGCTTGACCTTCCCGCTTTAGGAAGCTACCTGGAGGCCAGAACTTGCCAGGAGCAAGGGGCCCTGTTTGTCTTAGGAGGAAGCTGTGACTCAGAAAGGACATGGAATGTGTCCACAGTCACACCTCTGGCCAGTGGAACAATCAGGTAGGAATCGGGTCCCTGCCTGAGTCCAGGTGGCCCGATCTTTTTCCCTTTCAGAGCGCAAGGCCTGGCTCACCTCTGCGTCCTCTCTCTGGTCAGAGCCCACCCTCTCCTTCCCTGAGGGTTATTTGGCAAACCCCAGCCAGATGCTTGTCCTTCATTCCCTGCCTGTGCCAAGGGTGTCAGGAAAAATCCCGGAGTCCTGCAAACAGGGCCCTGCCTGGACTTGCGCTGGGCCTCCAGGACCTGGACAGCCTTGGGTGCTGCCTCTCCTCCTACCCCATCTCCTGGGCTCTGGCTTTGCTCCCTCCCGCCCGTCCACGGCCTCGAAGCAGGAGGGACGTTACGGAGGCGAGTTGGATCACGCCTTGGCCCTGGGGATGAAGCCCGGGCCCCCTGCGCTCTGTCGCCCCGCTGGCCCCCTGCTCAGCTCTGACGCCACATCAGCTGGAACCCTGCCCTGAGCCCCCTGCCCTGTGCACCATGCTGTATGTCACCCATCACACCTGGGTGTCCATCGGAGGGCTCTGCACAGGCAGAAATGTGCCCTTCCCTATGCCCACAGGACGCCCGTGCCCGAGCCGTGCGTGACGCTGTTTCGCTAAGGGGACCTCACATCCAGCGCAGAGGATCAGGAGACGGTGCCACTGGAGCCACGGCCTTTCAGGGGTCGGGAGGTGGCCGAGGGACGGAGGAACCCACAGCGTCCAGGCCCAGCTCTGCCGCTGACACTGAGGGGCCCCGACACTGAGGTCCTGCTGCCCAATAGGGGTACGGCAGCCTCTGCTCCAGGGGTGACCAGGGCTGAGCACTCGTCAGCTGTGAAATCACCTCGGGCTCCATGGGACTGGGGTGCAGACCCCGGAAGCCTGGGGTGCCCCGGGGACACACAAGGTCCAGAAGGTGCTCTTCAGAGAGGCTCTGGGTCCCCTTCTTGAAGCGATGGGAGTTGTCTGGACCCTCTGGGGCCTCCCCCGTGGTGGACTGGACCCGGCAGAGGCCGGGCGAGCTCCACGCCCAGGGGAGGGGGGCCAACAGCCGGCTGGCTTGGCCTGGGCTCTTCACTGTCTCGCCCGTAGCGCAGGGCCTCTGCTCACCTCCCTCTCCGCCCCCCTCCAGGGCCTTCCTCACGGGCTTCCTAATTGCCTTCTCTGGGTCAGGTCACAGGTGGCAGGCGGAGAGCCCAGCTGGGCCGGGCCGGCACCTTCTCCAGGCCCACAGGTTGTGCTGCAGCCCTCGTGCGGGAGTCCCACCTGTGCGCCCAGGTCACTTGGGAGCCCGGAGCCTTCGGAATCCAGCTGTGGAGAGGCAGGCGCCATGGGAAATGAGGTGCTTCCAGACCCACTGAGGGTAGGGTTCTCCAGAGAGACAGACAAACACAGTGCATAGGAAGAGATTATTATGAGGAAGCAGCTCACATGATCGTGAAGGCCGGGAAGCCCCACGTCTACCGTCTGCACGCTACACACCCACAAAACCTATTTGCTGGTGGAATCCAGTCCAGGCCTGGAGGCCTGAGAACCTGGGGAGCTGGTGGTGTAAATCCCAGTCCAGGGGCCGGAAGTGATGAGGTGGGCAGGAAGAGAAAAGGCAAATTCCTCCCTTCTGCATCTTTTGCTCTAGTCAAGCCCTCAGTGAACTAGGTGATGCCCACCCACACTGGGAAGAGCATCTGTTGTACTGAGTCCACCAATTCTAACCCTATGACCTCATCCAGAAACAGCTGCCCCCGACACACCCAGAAATAAAATTTAATGTGAACACCCATGGCCTGGTCCAGCTGAGACATACAACTGAGCTGCACACGTCCACCCCTTGCCGCCTCATCACCTGTGCCCGCCTCCTCAAACCGCACCTGGTCCCCAAACAGAGTCAACACGAAGATCATAATTCTGCCTCACAACTGTCCTGCCTACAACCGAAAACGCACAAACCCCTTCCTCAGAGGAGGAGGTGAAGCCTCCCCCTCTCCCCAGGGCTGACGTCCCGCAGCTTAAACGCTAGGGTGTAAATTCCCAGGACTAAATGCTGGGATGCAAAGTCAGTACATCTTATGTGACATGGCAAAGGGAGAAGACAGGAAAGAAACAAAGATAACACACACACACACACACACACACACGTAACCGAGCAGGATCCTGGGGGGCTTCCCGGAACAGACCCCCTCCATGTCCTCTGCTTGCCTTTTGTCTGTAGAAAAACTTTAGTCAAAGAATAATTTTAATCAGAGAAGTGAGAAAATGCAGAAAGAAAACAGTCCAGCAAGACAGACTAATAATAGTTTAGCCATTAAACAAAGTCAAGGACGTTTGTTCCTCCTCCAGGGCTACAGATCGTATTCCGAGCCACATCCTTGAGCTGTTTTGCAGATACTGAAACCCCCACTAGGTGGAAGAAGTTAACTACATGCTGACCACCAGCACGTAGACCCCACACCGGTTGGAACCAGAAGGTTGATAATGTTGACTCCTGATTACCTCACCACCAACCAATCAGAAGAATGTCCACCAGCTGATCACACCCCCCAACCCGCCTCCCTCACCCTGTCTTCAGAATCCTTTCCATGAAAGCCTTTGGGGAGTTCGGGCCTTTTAAGCACTGGCTGCCTGGACCCCTTGCTTGGCGCCTGCAGTAATGCTGCACTTTCCTTCAGTACGACCCGGTGTCAATAGATTGGCTTTACTGCACGTGGAGGAGGAGACCCAAGTTTGGTTCCGTAACACTTATAGCAAAAGAAGGAAGTAAGTACGACAATTACAGTCCTCATTTCTGTAACTGGTCTCGAGGTTGTAACTCATATATATAACTATCCTCTCCCACCACCCACTGCATATCCCTGTCCCTTCCGTAAGCACCTCAGCTGGTTGTGGTTCTGTACCTGGTAGTCAACCCAAACCTTCGTTCCTAAAGGGTCTGGGTCATCAGTGGTCCTGCCGGGATTGGGTTGTTGTCATGTTCCCTTGGCCTCAATCCCAGGGCACAGTAACACTAAGAGATGCCCTAAGGGATCTCCTGCGTCCTGCATGCCCTTTCTTACCTCCGGTGTGGAGGGGGCATCAGCCCAGTTTCCCCCTGGTGGTCAGGCTCAGTCACGCCGGCCAGCACAGTAAGTCCCTTCTTTGCCTGCTGAGACATGAGGAGCCCAAAGTGGCCAGTGAGTCTTAACTTCCAGTTCAGAGGAATCATTGCTGCGTCTCCTGGTGGAGGCATCCCTCCCTCTGGAACTAAGACCTCTAAGAGCACAAAGTCTCAGGACCAGGAAGTAAACGTTCTCCTGGTGGGTCACTAGGGTAATAGTCAGGGGTGCCACTGCCTTTTCCACCCATCGATTCCTGGACCCAGGAGTCTTGGCTGGGAAACAGCGCCATATAGTGGA